TTTAGAACAAATTAACCTAGTTATTCATTAAGCCTGACGAGCTATATGTTACATGTTTAGAACAAATTAACCTAGTTATTCATTAAGCCTGACGAGCTATATGTTACATGTTTAGAACAAACTCAGTTAGTTGTTCATTATGCCTGACGAGCTATATGTTACACGTTTAAAACAAATTAAACTAGTTATTCATTAAGCCTGATGAACTGTGTTACAAATCCCTAAGTGTGTCTAAAGTTAGCTCTAATAAAGAAATTTCAATTGTATACATGAACATGCTGAAAATGCGCTTATATATTTTTAAAGAAGTTCAGATTATATATACGTACAGAATCTTTTCTACAGTCATCTGTTTTTTTCTTGTTTTGTGTTTTAAGTTATGGGCAAGGATAACATAAGCAGTATTCATTTTGCTTACTTATTACGCTGGCGAAAAAAGAAAAAAAAGTAGAATGAAGAAAAACTTCCCCCACTTCAAATAAAAGTTTGAATTTGTTTGTATTATATTTTATAGAAGCATGAAGAAATATCAACATTAACGACAAACATTATTGCACAACTTAAGGGAAAAAGCTAAATATATCTTCGAATATCTTCAACTAACCTTGAATGACTCTAAACACTCGTGTAACAATGCCTTCAGTAAATCAGTTGAAAGATTATATCTTCACTGTATTTGTATTTCAAGTACAGTACTGTTTAGAAGTGTTAGAACAAAAGACTATTTTGTCATTATTTCCCGGAGAGAATTCGCTACATAAAATGATACTTAACATCAGTATCTTTGAGACCCTAAATTTGATCAGTATGTTCATTCAAGCAGAACCCTTATGACATGCCTTTTGTACAAATATATGGGAATTCTAAAGAATGATAAGTATTCTCACCCTGGTTCATTAAATTGTCAACAGGGGTCAGTGAAGCATCATCATAGAGTTGAAATTTACAATCTTTAATGACATTTTGTTTATGCAGCCTTCGGGACAGAAGGAAGACTGCCATTGATCTCAAGCATGAGATAAACGACAATGTACCAAATGACAGAAAAGTGTTCAGATCTACAGTATCATGAAGACTAAACGAGAATGGAATATTTGGCCATGTAGCAGTTAAAAAACCTTTACTTTGATCTCCAAATATTGTCAAGAGACTGCAATTTGATAAAAAGTACAAAAACTGTACTATTGATGATTGGAAAAGGGTGTTATGGACGGATGAGTCCAAGTTTGAAATATTTGGTTCAAAGCGTAGGTTGTACGTCCGTCGGAAGAAACATGAAAGGTACTTACCTCAATGCATAACACCTACCATGAAGTATGAGGGAGGCAGTGTGATGGTTTGGAGGTGTATTTCTGCTGAGGTGACAGAAGATATTTGCAAAATAAATGGAATAATGGACCAGCGTAAATACCATCTGATAGCGATTCATCATGGTATACCCAGTAATTTGTGTATTACTGGCAAAGGAAATTACTTAGCTAAAAAAGAAGATGCTGGAGTCATTAAAATGCAACAATGGTCTCCACATAGCCCCAGTCTCAACCCAATTGAGCAGATGTGGGATTTGATTGATCAAAACTTGACAAATCAAAAGTTACTTCCAAAGAAACTTTCTGGGAGTATATTAGATACATTTGGAGTAAAATCTCAAAGGACACTTTGATTAAAAATGTTATAACAATGCCTGAGAGACTGTCTGCAGTTATTAAAACAATAGAAGGACGCACAAAATATTAACTGTTTGCGGAACTTATGCACTTTCACCGAGTTTCTGTTGTATTAAATATGAAGATTAATAAAATGTTGATGTTTCACCTGAGATTTTCCTTCCATTGTTCTTTGAAAGTAGCCTGAAATCTAATTTTTGACTTTGTCCTAAAACTTTCGCACTGTACTGTTTAATTCAAATCTACGTTAAAGAATCAGAATTACACAAATCTTAGACATAAATGGTGTATAATATATTTAAAATGATAGATATTTGTGGTATTTACCGGCATGTAGTTCCCCGTCGTTGTTACATCTCATATTTAACCCTTCTTCAATGCCACTTGAATAAGTTTTAATGGCTTCCTTGGATATTCCTTCAAGACAGTCTTCAGCATATTTTTGCAAACATTTTTGGGCTTTATATTGTTTTCTATAAAGATAAACAATACTTTTATTTTTGATATAATTAGCAAAGTAGCCTATATCTGTTAATATTACAAAATAATATTGTTTAAATCCCGCTAGGAGTTAATGAAAGGACATTGTCTATAATAATATTTTACGTAAAATTCCGATAGGTGAAATAGACTCTGGAGTAGCTCATTGGTAAGACATTAATTGTTTTAGTAGTGGGTTCAAGCTCTGGTCCCAGAGTTCACAATATAGATTTATTAAAATCACCGTTATAAGAGGCCTAACTTTGGTTCTTTGATTTGCCAGCCTACGCTGTGCTCATGAGCCCTCAATAGGCTAAACTGCTGTCCTCAGTAGTGGGTACAGCCAATCAAAGAAAACATTAGGCCTCTACGTCACGGATTATCCTTTCAATTTTACCCTTGGTGAATCTGTAATATATATATGTAATCATTAAGTACTTGGTCCGATATATAATGTGGAATAATAATTTAGGCACGAGCTGTAACATTATTCAAATACCTAGATCATTTTAGGATACTTTATTGATGATTGAAAATGTCTTAAAAACCCCATCAATATTGTAAATAAGCCATCATTATAAGAGGCCTAACTTTGTTTATTTGAATTTCGTCCCTTGTCTGACGAGAGAACGTAATGATCTAACGACCCGCCGGTCATGCGGTATCGGAATGAAATAACGTTTATGTTGTTGATGTTTATTTTATTTGCCAACTTAATCTATCCTGATAAGCCGTTGATATGGGAAATTGGAAGAAACATATGTGACATATATATGTAATATAGATTTAGGTAACTCCTTTAATCAACAAATAACCACAGACAATATATGGATTAGCCTTACTCGCAGTGTTCCTTAATCTCTTCTTCATTTATAGGTATTGCGTTAGGGTCATCTGTGTAGTCCATAATAACAGCACCACATTGGTCAAGATTTTCCAAACTACAGAATTCAGCAGCTCTCCGCTGCACGTGAGCATCCGCCACTGAAACAGATAATTGTCATTATTTCTGAAATTATGCAAATATAATCTTGCTTATATTGTAATAATAAGTGCAGACACTGGGAGAATCAACAAGGTGAACAATAAAATGAATAATAGTTTGAAAAACAAATCAACGTAATGGAAAAA